CCATCCAAACCAAAGCCAAGCCCATCGCCACTCCAATCCAGCGACCACCTCGCCCAGATCGCCGCCGATTCGATCCGGTTCCTCGACGGTGAGCCCTCCCCCCCTCCTCCGATCGCGATCCGCGGCCGCCTCTCTCCCTCGCGGGCCGACCTCTGACCGCTCGCGGCGTCTGTTTCGTTGCAGGGATGGCGACCAAGAGGAGCGTGGGCACCCTCGGGGAGGCGGATCTCAAGGGGAAGAAGGTGTTCGTGCGCGCCGACCTCAACGTGCCGCTCGACGACGCCCAGAAGATCACCGACGACACCCGCATCCGCGCCTCCATCCCCACCATCAAGTACCTCCTCGAGAAGGGCGCCAAGGTCATCCTGGCCAGCCATCTGGTGAGCATCCCAACCCACCCACTCTCGTTGATCCGAGATATACCGCATGCTAGCAGCCGATAAGGAGTTGGCCTTGGATTTATTTATGGGGATCGGATGTGTGATTCCTGGGAGCATTGGATGCGGTCGAGTGGTTCTGTGTCATCATTTTGAGCTCCAGACTAAGATCAGTGGAGATAAATATTGGGTAGTTTTCTTAGGACTGTAGCCGTTTACACATGTCTGCAATTTTGGTGTTAGTTTTGTTAGGATTGTAGCCATTTGCACATGTCTACAGTTTTGGTGTTTGTTACATGCAAGGATGTGAACATGCGGCAAAAGTGGTTCAGTTTTGCTCTCAGTTAATTTCGCATCTGCAAGTCTGTAATTTAAAGTCAGTCTTGCAACCCTTGGTAGTATGTCAGTTCCTGCTTGTAATTAGTATATCCTTAGATAAGGGTTACAGTGAGGTTCAGTTAATGCCCCCTTCAACTTGATTGATAATACTGCCATACAATCTGAACCAGTTGGGCTCTTTTGCACAGTTATGGTACTCATCATTGTAATCATGAACATAAATTATAATATGCATTGGTGATCAGCTTGTTTTATCTCAGTTGTGAGGCGATTGAATTTAAGTGACTGCCAACTTGTTCCTTCTTCACTTCTAAAAGATTTGGTGGTTAATTGTTTTCCTCTGCCAAAAACGAACGTCTTCAATTGTGGTTGTACATTGTTGTGCTCTGATTCTTCGGAGGCAGTTACAAAAAACTTTCAAGTTATTTGCACCTCCACATTAAACGTCTGACATTCAGTAAATTTTTGTTTAATGGTCTCCATAGCCAAGTAGTATTAGAACATCTGATGGGATGGTATGTTATCTGTTATCTGGTTCCTGGTAACTTGAAGATGTATTGAGATCATGTGTCCTTTTAACATTTCGTACCATTATATAGGTTATTGATTTTACAACTGTCCAGGCTAAACTGTGTTGCTTTCACCTAAACTTACATTGCCAACGAACTACTTTATGCTCTGACTTTTGGATTGCTAGTGTATTGTCTCAACCAATCCAGATTTTTCATTTTTTATAAAAAAAATTATGCTACTTATGTCACCTGATATGACGAGGAACATGATAAAAAACTGTCAAATGTAAGTGTGATTGTTGTATGTAATTCATTGTTGTAACTTTCAGGGCCGCCCAAAAGGTGTCACCCCCAAGTTCAGCTTGAAGCCTCTTGTTCCACGCTTGTCTGAGCTCCTTGGACTTGAAGTATGTTATGGGATGATAGTATCTTGCAATTCTGGTTTCTTTCTGAACTAGATTAATTGCACTTATATGTGTACATTGTTTTATCTCTGTCAATAGGTTGTGATGGCCCCTGACTGCATCGGTGAAGAAGTTGAGAAATTGGCTGCTGCTTTGCCAGATGGTGGTGTTCTACTCCTAGAGAATGTTAGATTCTACAAGGAGGAAGAGAAGAACGATCCTGAGTTTGCTAAGAAGCTTGCATCAGTTGCTGACCTTTATGTAAATGACGCTTTCGGCACTGCACATAGGGCTCATGCTTCAACCGAGGGTGTAACCAAGTTTTTGAGGCCTTCTGTTGCTGGCTTCCTCATGCAGAAGGTATACCAGCTGAAATGACTCTCATTCCTGCACATTATTTGCTTGAAATCTTAAGAAAACAAAGTATCCTTTGGTGTGCAAGTCAGTACATGGATCCTGACTTAGGTTTTCCAGAAATCATTGGAACTAGTATATTTCAGAACAAAATAGCAAGATATCTAATTATTTTAATTACTCCAGGAACTTGACTATCTTGTCGGAGCTGTTGCCAACCCAAAGAAGCCCTTTGCTGCCATTGTTGGTGGATCCAAGGTCTCATCTAAGATTGGTGTGATCGAGTCTCTGCTGGCCAAGGTTGATATCCTCATCCTTGGTGGTGGTATGATCTTCACATTCTACAAGGCCCAGGGATTAGCTGTTGGAAAGTCTCTTGTGGAGGAAGACAAACTTGAACTGGCAACTTCACTGATCGAAACGGCAAAGTCCAAGGGTGTTAAGCTCTTGCTTCCGACTGATGTCGTTGTGGCTGACAAGTTTGCAGCAGATGCCGAAAGCAAGGTTTGTTCATTTTACCCCTTGAATGGTCCTTGTGATAGCACTTTATACTCCAAAAAGTAGTACTCCCTCCGTTCGGAATTACTTGTCGCAAAAATGGATGTATCTAGAACTAAAATACGCCTAGATACATCCATTTTTGTGACAAGTAATTCCGAAAGGAGGGAGTAGTTTCAAAGGCTCTCAGTGTAATTCAACCGACATTTGTGCTGATGCTCACCCTTGATACCATTTTTCAGATTGTTCCTGCCACTGCTATCCCTGATGGTTGGATGGGTCTGGATGTTGGCCCAGATTCCATCAAGACTTTCGCAGAAGCCTTGGACACCACCAAGACTGTTATCTGGAACGGTCCTATGGGAGTCTTTGAGTTTGAGAAGTTTGCCGCAGGCACTGATGTTAGTACAATATCACATAACGTTCATTCATCTATCTCGTATTCGTTGTTGTTGCTAATGACAATTGTCCTTTGTCTCAGGCGATCGCCAAGCAGTTGGCTGAGCTTACTGGGAAGGGTGTCACGACCATCATTGGTGGAGGTGACTCTGTTGCTGCTGTTGAGAAGGCTGGGCTGGCCGACAAGATGAGCCACATTTCCACCGGCGGTGGCGCGAGCTTGGAGCTGCTGGAAGGCAAGCCCCTCCCAGGTGTTCTTGCCCTTGACGAGGCGTAGGTTGATTCGGTTTCACCTATCAGCTTGCTGCGTGCACCTTTTGTTTGGGATCTCATCTCGGTGTAACGCTGGAACGTTATATGTCCCAAGGAAACTTTGAGATAGGCTTGTCGCCAATTTTTGCTAGTAGATGAGTCGTGAATAATTATCAACTTCCTCTGTGCGTGTGAAGTGATGTGGCTGGAATTTAACGTACCCCTGTGGATGTGTATGGTTTTATGCTCAAAGTCTTTCTCTCCGGTTTCCTTCTGTGCTGTTTGCTCTCTTTAGTTTGAAATGAAACCTTGTCATGTACCGCCATGTTTTACAAGAATCCTCATGATGATAAATTAGCAGCATCTTCCAAATAGCATTAGGCGTACACATGGACGGACATGTTTCTCTCTTGGTTTTATCAATCCCGTTCTCCCAGTGCTGAAGATGTCGAGGACAAACCTTGGGCCTTGCTCCGCCCTCCTCTTTATCTGTTTTGATGCTTTGATCCACTTTCTGAATGCACGCCCAAATACATGGCTGAAATAATACATATGGCTGAAAAGGCGCGAACTACACAAAATACATGGCTGGAAATAATCTGCAAGGCGCAAGCTAATAAAGGCCTAAAAGCTGTGGCCATTATTTTTCAGAGACAACTATCGCTGTAGTATTTAGATGGCAAACATGCACCACTTACGTATCAAAAGCTAGGCTGCCATTGAACGTGCCTGCTATTGTGGCCCAACAGGAAGCCTAGAGGTCTAGGGCAGTAGCATGATGCTATGTCGCTGTTAAGCACAAACATCAGCGCCTTATTATATGTTATATTAGTGAACCCAGCGTATGAGTTGCATGCCCTATTGGAGGCAAGGAATCTGATTGCACATGATCATATTTGGTTAATTTGTACCTTATTGTGGTTTTCTCCTATACCATTTGCCGACAACTCAATTACCAAATACTTAATTTAAATTTGGTATAGTTATTGCATTGTCTGTCTTGTTCATCTCTTCGATAATCGTACATTAATTCCAGCATCCTTTTTCTCTTGAAGGGTCTCACATTGTAATTTCCATCATACAGCAAAAAACAAATGCATGCCAAAAGATACAATTGACTGCCATTGCCAGGATTATTTTTGGATGAGCTAGCACTTCTGCTCAACACCACTGAAAATCCAGTACTGAATGGCTAAAAGGTTTTCATGTTAAGAGAGACAACAATTAAACTATCCAGTTTGAATTTCTGTAGAACTAAAGCAAAGGTAGGTGGAAGCGTCTGAGCAAGATTTTGTATGCAAAGCGATCTCATTAAGATATGAACAAAACACAGGTGTTAGCAATACTTCAATTTGGATTGGGCTCCAAAGTCCTCATGGACTTCAATTTGGGTCCCTAATTATTATACTGGGATTCCTACAATCTTCCTTCGTCAAAAAGGAAAATAAATAAATAAATAAACAGAAAGTGAAGCATGTGTGGGGTCATAAATTTCAGTTTTCCTTGCCTTCCGCTAAGAAAGCCATCTTAATTTGATCGTATATGCAAGAGGATTAAACTAGTGCGAGTGCAATAAACTAGACACCATTGGAGAACCTCTTGAGAAGCTGGAAAGGGCCGGGAGATTTTGTATGAGAGAACCTCTTGAGGAAAAAATGAAGCATGAAAACGAAAAGAATACACTGATAAACAGAAACAGAAGGAGAAGGCAGGACAAGCAACACCAAAATTAGCAAGCATTTACCTTCCATGCAAGCCCGCCTACTTACGCAAGAGAAACCAGAAAACAATCTCTATATATCTGTTGGTGGCCGTGAGAGAATGAAGCTGCAGCATGATCTGATGGAGCCAAAATTCCAAGATATATAACCCCGCGCGACCGAACGCGTTTTCGGCTCGCATGCTCGACGAGCAGATCATGCTGGCAGCTTCAGTCTCTCACACCAGCAAAGGCGTCCGTCCGTCCGTCCGTCCATGGTAGCGGTTCTAGCAGGACATGGAGCCGCGCGGAGAATAGGGGTAGGGGAGAGAAGTGGCCGCTGCTGCCATGCATATGTACTTCCCCTATCTGGGGTATCTTCTGTATGGCGGCCTCGTATGCGTAGGGTGGGCGGACTTAAAGGAGAGGAGGAGGAGGAGGAGGAGGAGGGGAGGAGGGACAAAACCATGGCACGAGGGGTGGGTGTGTGTCCATGGTGGTTGGTGCAAGCATGGTCCCTTCCTTGCCGCTCACACCTCGTGACACTGCCGTTTTGCCCTCACCGAAGTCGCCATCGCCACCACGGCTTGTTTTATGTGCAGTGTCCTTGCTCCCCCGGCCACACCAGAATGGCACATGCATCTCTACGTTTTGCTCTCAAGTCCGGATTTTTCGTAAAGATAATGTTTAGAGTGCAGATGATTGGTCGTGTTGCTATCTACTCCCTCCGCTCCGATTTACTCATCATGGTTTTGGTTCAAATTTGAACTAAAACCACGACGAGTAAATCGGAACGGAGGAAGTATGTGTTTGTTGTGTGAGTTGCTGAACGATTTACTTTCTCCCTTCCTTTCGCAAAAAAGAGAGATTTATTTACTCCCTTCAATCCGAATTAATTGACGCAAACTCTATATAATGTAAGTGGGAGTACTGATGACGGATGGATAGTAGTTTTGAGGGTGCAGGTGAGGCTTTCAAAAATATGTCATTGGATTTTAAAGTTATGCTAACAGTGTTTTAAAGCATTTCACGTTATTAAAGATTAAGGGTACGTTTGGATCATAGCCAATGCTTACCATGCCAAAAAATTGGCTGGCCCACAAACTTTGGTAGTCATTTGGACTTGTGCCAAAAATTTGGCTAGCCCGAGACGCCCGACCCCCGCCCACTTAATTCTCGCCAAAACGCAGGCCAGCCGATGGCACGTTCGCCAAAATTTTGGCGTCGTAACTTTCCATCTTTTCCTCTATGGGTCCCATGTCTTTTTCTTACCTTGGGATTTTTTAAGGGTCTGTTTGGTTTATGACCCCAACCACCCTACCAAAATATTGGTCATGCCAAGTCCCTCGTATGTTGTTTGCTTTGTAGCCAAAATTTTGGCTGCCAACGGGTCCTTTGTTCCTTCCTTCACAGATTTTGCCAAATCTTTGGCCAATCCTGGGCGATGGAATCCCACGCCAAATAATTGGCAAGCCAATATTGGCAGGGCAGCTACAAGCAAGAACCAAACATACCCTAAGATTCGTGTCCTATCTTGTGATGCATGCAGCATGTTAGTTCAGATTGTTGTGGCCGTTAATTAATTAGTGGGCCCCGTCGCCAATTGAGCTACTCCAATCACCATGGCGGCCACCGCGATTATGGACGGAGAAGCTTATTTGATGATAATACAAACTTGCTTTCCCTTGTCCCTCTAGAGATCACAACGCCCTAAAATTTTCTTCCCATCTGCTCCCTCCGTAATACACAGAGGGAGTATGTATTCATCTGCAGACCCATCTCCTTTATCGTGATCTGTCTCTCCAAATTCTACATCTGCAGAAAGCGAACTGTACTTGGTCTTGTTGTTTGGAAGACTTATCATGTAAATACGCTCCTTGAGCCACGAAATTGGTCAATATCTTGCAAACTCCAACCAAGTGAGAGAGAATATAGTACACCAAAAAAGGAAGCATTCCTGTATTCGTCAGTTTGATAAGAGTGGTTGGCGTCATCTAGCGAAGGACAACCATTTGCTATGTGTTTTGGGAATCTTCAGAAACTACAGGATGTCTTTTGAGATATAATCC